GCCACGGGGCGCGCCAAACAACATCATTGCTTTGCAGATTTCGAAAGGCATTAATCCACATATCCTTCTTAATTTCTTTCGGCCATTCCTGCTCCAGAAATTCCTTTAATGGTGAATAACCCGTATTGAAGCGTCGGTATGAAACCTTTTCTGTTCTCCAGAAATGACTACGGATCCAAACATATAATAACTGAGTACACCCTGAGAATCGTCCACCTCCTAACCTTCTGCAAGCATTTAATGATCTGAAGGTCTCTGCTAGGATGGCAGAAACAGGATTAATCTTCTTCGGTAGTTGTTCAAACAAGTCTACCACTGCAGCTTCAATATATCCCAATACTTTTGGGAAGATGACCATACCATATATACCCAGAGCAAATAAATCGAATCGTACTTTAATATCTGGATGGCTCTGAATAAGTTCTCTGATGTTGGTCCAAGCAATGCCTTCGCTTTCGCCTTTTTGTTTTGTACGGGATGCTACCCATTCTTCTCGTACCCCAGTAATCTTTGCTAATTTAACTCGAAAGGGCTGAGTTTTAATTGACTTTGAATATATTCGACTCTCCAAAGCACCTTCAAGATGTAACAAAGTTGTATATTCTTCAATAGTAGGGACCAAGTCCTCCTTATTGAAAGTGAAGCAATTGTACCCTGGATTCCAGAATTGAACTAGGGCTCTGAGTAATTCATCATCAACTTCAACATAGAGCAAATATGGGATGTCTCCGTAAGTCTGATAAAACTGCAATTTTTTGTTTGAATCCCAACTTTCCCAAATACCTCGCAAATCTTGCAGATCATTTCTTTTTAGTGAAACTGAAGCATAACTGGCCAAGTCAGATACATAATCATCCTGCAGACTGTCTCCTTCTTGTCTTTGTAAATCTTCAGCCCACTGTCTTACTTCTGAGTTTAGAATTACTTGACTTGAACCCTTTTTATCCATGGATGAAGGTTTTCCAATGAGACTATTAACACAAGGATCAATGTCTTTTATCCTGTATGATGCTATGCAAACAGAAAAATAAAGAACACAAAAAAAAAAAATTAGTTTACATAAAAAAATTCAATAATAACATTTATTTAATTTAAACATGCTTTTCTAAATTTAAATAATTTAAATAAACATGTAATTTAAACAATAAATAGATTAACAGGAAAGACAGAATTCATTTCTCCTGTGTGTACACCTATTTTGGACAAAATTTCGGCATGACTTCGGATTGGAAGAGTTTCTAAGGTTTTTTTTTTTATATATGCAGGGTTTCAGATCTAGGAGTAAAGGTACCCGAATTGTCCTTGTTAGTGCCCCCTTGGGTTGCTAACCCTCAATCCTAGTCCATTACAGACTAAAGTGGATTGAGTTCAATTCGAGGGGATACATTTCTCTATGCCTGACACGGAGAATAAATTCTCACGAAGACATAGAGCATATGAACCCCGAAAGTTACTTGCTAGGTCTGACACGGAGAATAAATTCTCACGAAGACGTCGCTTTCACTCCCACTTAAAAGGGACAACTCAATTATAGAGCTTTATGTTATGCAATGCAAGTGTTGTGTGTGAGGAGAAATGTTAAACTTTTGACATAAAAATAAATACTGAAATAAAATACTTGCCAATAAAACATATAAATATTATAAAAATAATAAATAAAAAATTTGAAAAGAAAGAATTAAAAATTAAATATATAAATTTTTAATTTTTAACTAATAGAGACAATTTATAATTAATTTTTAAAAGTTTGACCGGTCCCCAGCAGAGTCGCCAAGCTGTCGTAACCGGTTTTCGTCCGGGCACGAAATATTAAATTTGGCGGGGAAATTGATGTGAATAAATAATTTTGAAAATAATTTGTGAGTCGCCATCGGCCTTTTGGATCAGGTAGGTCGAATACCTAAAAATTATCTTTTAAAAGAGTTTTTTAAGAAAACCATTTTTAAAAGATGAACTGATCTGCGTTTTATAACCAAAAATTCATTCTTTTTAATAAAAAGGGATTCGTAGTCAGTTACGTTTAGGGAAGGATTAGCACCCCTACAACGCCCAAAATTGGTACTTTTTAATTATAAATTGTCTCTATTATTAAAATTTAAAAAAAATTCAAAAATATATTTAATTTATAATTCTATTATTTAAAAAAATATTTATTTATTTAAAAATATCTAAAAAGAACTTCTAGGTGCCTTAAGACAGCTCTTTTCTTTGATATTGATAAATATTAATTTAAATAATATTGTTTACTTTTTAATTTTAAAATATCAGAATAGGACATCCAGTTGTATTAAGACTGTCCTTTTCTTCGATATTTTAAAAAAACAAATATTAAAAAAAATATTTTATATGTATATTTATGAATATATATAAAAATATTTAACAGTATAATAAAATAAAAATATCACTAAAACAATATATTTTAAGCAATAAAATGAAAACATATAAAATAAATAACTAAATTATGAATAAAATAAAACTAAATCTAATTCCTAATTAATTGAAATTATAGGGATTAAATATTTTTTTCTAATTTAATAATTAATGACCAAAATAAAATTATCTAAAATTCAAATTTATAATAAATAAATTAAAAGTATGAACTAGGGACTAAAAAAATATTTATTAAAATTAAGGGATTAAATCTGTCATTTATCCTAAATATATTATTTTAATTAAAAAGACTAAAATGAATAAAATTAAAATTCAAAGACCGAATTAAAATTCTTATAAATTCAGTTTAGTGACCAAAATGTAAAGTTTACAAATATGAAGGACTGCGGAATGGATTTAACTATTTTGTAATTACGCGCCTAGTCCTTCCCGAAACGACGTCGTTCGGGAAGGACTATATAAGTCCAAATCGGCTGGCCCGAAGGGCCAGCCATTTCATTTCTTCTTTCCTTTTTTTTCTTTTTTCTCTCAAACAGAGAGAAGAATTCTCTGTCTTCTCTCTAAACTGAGAGAAGTTTGGTCGTCCGGCAGCCGTTAGCCGGCGTTCATCCGCCGTCAACCACCGCCGCCGGCCACCGTCTTCGGTGGCCGGAAAAAATTTTTTTACATCTAAATGTAGTTCGGACCGTCCTAATGACGGTCCCGATACTTTTTTCCGTTAAATGACTCCCAATCGGAGCAGATCTACAAATATACCTTCGGTTTTTTCGGTTCTCCGGCGATGTTCAGTGTTTCCGGCGACGGTCAAGGTTTCCTTGGTAAGCTTCTCCCCTCTCTTCTTCTTTTTGTTTTTGCTCTGTTGGGATCGTTGGTAGTTTTATATCTCTCTATTTTCCCTTTTTTTTTCTTTTTGGTTCAGTCTCTGTCTCTTCTTGCTGTCTCTCCCTCTTTTTTTTTTCGCAGGTGGGTGGTGGCTTTTATAGCCACCACCGGTGTTCGTCTCGGACCGGTCCGAAGAGGGGGCTTCGGTGAGTCACCGGACTACCAGTGGTGACTCACCCGTAGCCTTGGCGTGGCCGGCTGGTGTTCTAGCTTCTGGAGTCTTCGGCTGGGACGTGGCAGCGGCGGAGCGGCGAGAAGACTGTCGGTAGCCGCATGGAAGCTGGGGCGGCGCCGCGTGGCCCTAGGGTATCAAACCCTAGGGTTTCTCTCTGGAACCATGTGGACCGTTGGATCGTGCCAGATCCAACGGTTGTGATGAGGCGGCTGAGGATGATTAGGGTTAGGAAACCCTAACTGGAAACCCAAATATTTAGGGTTTCTGGTTGGATTTGGACCGGTTTCAGTTGGTTTGTAACTGGGCCGGTTTAATTGTAATTGGTTTGTAATTTATATGTATTTAATATATTTAATAATAAAAATAGTAATAATAATAATAAAAATAATAATAATAATAATATTAATAATGATAATAATAATATTAATAATAATAATAATAATATTAATAATGATAATATGGATAAAAAATAGTATCTTCAATAGTCTTACTATATTGTTAAAAAAGACGTTATTAAAAATATTATTTTTTTATCGAAAATGTTAATATTAAGTGCTACCTAAAATGTTTAACATTTTTGATAAAGTGTTACTCAAGATATTATTTTTTCTACCAGATTAACATTTTTAGTAGAAAAAATAATATTTTAAGTAGCATTTTACTAAAAATATTAAAAAAATAATAATATTTCTAATATATTTCTTTAACCGTATATTAAGGTTGACGTACCTGAAACATCCCCATATTATATCTTTCAAACCCTTCTTATATTTTATATAATGCCTTTTCTTTAAACTATTTTTAAAAGATTTAATTATACCAAATCTCCTAATTATAATACAAATCTATACACTATACAATTATAATACAAATCTATACACTATACAATAAGGTGGAGTAGGAGCACAAACCAAACGGATTTAGTGACAAAAGAATTTGTTATTATTTTTAAAAATTTTAAATTCGAACACCACATCTATTTGGTTGACATTTCTTGAATATATACAAATTGAAATACATAACAAAATATAAACTCTAGTTTGATTTAAATTTGTATATAGTTAATTTGATTTTGGTGTAATTATATTCATAAAATCTTAATTCTAATTAAATATATTTATAGTTTCTTAATTTTAATATAACTATATATATATAAATAAATACATTATTTTTTGTTGTTGTAATACGTGAACATCAAATATTGAGAATACTATTTAGAGTTTATAAAAATTAATTAAATATAATTAATATTCGTATATTACATTACACTCCTCATTATATGTAATTCTGAAATGTACTTTGAAATTGTTACATGAAAGTACTATCTATTTATTAAATATATCTTTTAATAAATAGATAGTATTGTATATGATATGTTATATGCAATATATTAATATAATGATCGACTAACTATTCACAATCTTTCTTAGTTATCAACAACGCATACACGTATTACAAATATATTTGTTTAAATTTATGACCTGTATAAAAAATAACGCTCTATTTTATCCACCGATTCCAATCAATGAATTCTTTATAATTAAATTTAAACAAATATAATTTTATTTTGGGGTGAACCGGGTAACCACAAATTTAAAAACCACCTGTCCAAGGCCCGGCTGCTGGTCAGGAAGTGTTAATAGCTCAAATGGCTTCAAAAACATTAAGCAAAATCTGACAAAACCCGTGTTAAAACCGTTGAATGAAAATTCAAGCTACCTCTTGGAAAGAAGATGGTTTGTCGATTGAAAAGCTTCTGACTTCTTGCACTTTGTCATTCTCCAGTTTTTCGTTGAATTGGACTCGTAGGAATTCGACAGCCATGAAGGTTAGAGCCGAGGCTGGAATATACCATGTGATCCGGGGGACGCTTCCCCGGAACATTCCTTTCGGGCCTTCAGTTTTCCAGATCTTACTCATTGCATCCAACCAGCCATTATAACTGTTAAACATATAGCACCAAGGTAGGCACGTTAAACATTACCACAAAAGAGGGGGCGGGGGGATGAAACTTGGTAATGCTTGTGCATGCAGAAAGAGTAAGTGACCGAAAAAAGGGTTAGATAATCCAACTTTGATGACACTTAAAAGGTTTGCTCTTTGCTAAAAACCCTATGAAAGTAAATGAAATTTCCGATGTTCGAGACAATTTTATGTCCACAAGTATACATCATTAATAACAATGCGACTGTTTCGATACCTGGAGGATGATCCTTGGACTTGTAATCTTGTTTTTATTACATCCAAGGGAGTGGTAAGGTATGCACTAAACCCTGCATATTTGAATTAGAGTATTAACAGTCTCCGGGGCACGGTAAATTCTGCATTCAATCATTAAAAAATGAAATAAAAACTGCATGAAATAAGCTGAAGCAGAAGCATGGTAAATACCACCAGCCAATCCTCCTAATACAAGTCCCTCGAAAGTACTATCAACATGGAAATTAGGAGCCCGTTTTCGTCTCCCTTTCTCTGTCAAATCTTTCAGGGCTTCGTAGAACATAACCTGCACGGTGGGTCATTAATTCTGTTTAATGTTGAATCAAAGATGCAAGTAGAGTGTACAAAAGCTGTGGATACTTTATAAGGAATTTCGTGATTAAAACGATAATGGTTCGGCATACAAGAAAAGGGAAAATGATAATCAGTAGTCAGTTCTCCCTTGATTGAGGCATGAAACTAATCAATCTAGTGATTCAATTTATGCATACAGAAAAACATGCGTATAAATGCCAAGAAGTTGAAAGCAATCTTAATGGCGAGCTCATTTTCCATTCATGGAGAAAGAATGTGATGGTTCGAAGAGAGAAAAGTACAGATGAAGGAATGCTAGATCTGGGTACATACAATGTTTTGATGATCATTTTCCTAACCTATTGATCATAAAATATTATTGAACTGAATTGAAGATAAAATGGCTATTAGAAACAAAAATGTAACAGCAAGGAAACTAAGAATAAACACAGACACCGTATGCAATTAAATCTAAAATAATTTACATTACGTACCATAAGGCCAGCAAACGGCACATCCCTTGCAAGTGTGGAGCCATACCTGAAAAGGTACAAAGAAGAATGAAATTCATCAACAATCCGAAAGTTCAGAATACTCCAGATTTCAGAAGAACTGTCTTAAATATAAAAGATTAAAAGAACATTCTGCATGGATCCAATCTAGAAGACCTATAGCACTTACGAACACATACTGTTAGATGCCCCTGCATGCTGAACAACAAAAGATGTAAAAGAATACGCGAGAGAAGATGACGAGATTGCATTCAGGCCATCTAAAATGAGGTTGTATAAAATTCCCAAAAGGGTAGAAACATTCAAATCAGAAGTGGCGGATACAAGATATTAAGCATCTATGTATATGCTGTTCAGGATGTATATGATCATATGTGGTTGGAGTTAGACAACATAATTGTTGAATGCTGGAATCCAAGTATTTGTTTATCTTACAGTAAATATAATATGCAAAGAAGGAAATACTTACCCAGCATATAATCCCCTTAGTCCTTGCTCTTTCCATATTGAACATCCAGCTTGGAACATTCCAGTGTAATAACCATACATCTGTGCACCGGAATTCATTCGCATCTGGTCTTTCATGATAGCAGAATTCCAAGAGTTTCCTGAGCCTTGAATCTGCATGCGTTGCTTAATCACTTCACATGGAACATATACAAAAGAACCAAGTGTATCACCTGAAAATCACAGAAAATTAAAAGATAGAAATCAGTGCTCATTTGTGCATTTCAATTGCTTTAAAACATAAAACATAAAACATAAAACATGAAAGCATTCTGCCCTGCAATGCTTTATCCATACAAATCTAAAGCAACTATAATTGAATCAGCCAGTATTTACGTCTCCAGCGCATGAGAAACAAGCATCATCTACCTGATTGAAAGGACTATATGGGCATTAAATTTTACCAAAATGGAAAATTTAAAAATATGGGGAGAAAAGAAAATAGGAAACATCATGTACCATTTACATCGGTAGCAAAAAAGATATTTGTATGGCACACAAAGAGAGAAAATATTAATCACTGAAGCAAAAACAGAACAAAGTGCACTTCATTGTCAAAGTTGGACCAAAACAAGAAGGGGCATCCCAAAAGTGAACAATAAGTAAATGTTAATCGCACCATAGTTGTAACTAGAATGCAAGAAAATTCAGTGGAACAATTTCACTAAAAGATAGAAGTTCCAGAACAGCTTACCAACGGCTCCAGCTATGAAATGTGCCCAGTGGCCCCCAAGGTTAGGATGCGACTCCTCAATCCATTTTTTAGTGGACTCTATGAAACCAAAGTATGTTGCTCCAGTTGCGAGAGATCCAGTAATTCCAGGAGCTATACCCCTATAGAAGCCTACAAATGTGATCAGTCCAGACAAACTGCCTAACATGGTGGATGTGTAACACATGATTAAAGACAGAAGCCAATAAGCAAAGTCCAGAATATGCTACATAGAGCACATGTGCAAATCAGAAATGTAAGAACATAAAAAACATAAAAAAAACAAGAACAGGATGACCACCAATGAAATAAGCAAAGTGGTTGAATATACCTCTTAAGCCATCTGCAACCCAGACAGTTCGAACCATCTGCACTATGCTCTTTTGACTCTGCTCGAAACCATAAAAAAAATGCATCAGCAAACAAACAAACAAACAAAGATCATATGTCATCACGGACAGCATTATGAGGCAGGTGAGCAATTCACCGCCCTCGTAGTTCCTAAACATTTTTTATACTAAAATTTTGTTCCTTCTCCCACCCCCCACCCCTGCATAAGATTGTTATAAGATTTTCCTTCCATAATTGTAAATCCTGGTTCCATTACCGAATATTACCATACCTGACTTCCACTAAGAAGAGCTTCACTCTGAATTCTAGTCTTTATGGTGTCAATGGGATGCATCATACCCTCTCCAAAAGCTCCAGCTATGGCTCCCCACATGAACTCTCTCCATACTATATACAAATCATAAATGTTCATCAATTTCCTTTAAATTTTTCCCCGTAAGCACAAATTATTAGAGCAATTTCTTTATAAGCCCATTGTTAATACATCAATATGACTAATAAAACCCTTAAAAAAACAAAAGATATTTCATTTCATTCTTAAGACAATAAAAGAACTTGCTGCAAAAATAGTTAAAAAACAAAACTTAGTTCCATTTCTTCAACAAGAATAACCAAGGAAGGGGCAAGAACAAATATCCTTTTTCCAGTTCTAAAACTACAGCTATAACTCTACTTTTTATGCTAAATCCAATGATTTACAAACAACTTAAATGGGCCAATTGCACGTATATATTCTGTTTGAACAGAACATCGCACTAAGGCACTAAAAACGAGTATAGCTTCTTTCTTTACACTTAGGTGGGTTTCCTTTGCCCTTCGGGATTACCAAACATTCAGATTATATCGGGGAATCAAACAGAGCAGATTAATAGTAAGAGAGAGGAGAAACAAGCAAATTTACCAAAGAACTGATCTCGATGGTGAGTGGCTTTGTTGGTTACATGATATAATGGGCCATCCAATTTGATTGAAGTTGAGCTTTTATTCGCCATTTTTGAATATCAAATTAGCAGAGTTTTGTACTCTATGAATTTTTGTATAAAGTCTAAAAAGCTTTTTTCAGTAGGTTTAGGGTTTAAACTAAAGTTTAATGGAATGACAAGGACAAATTTTAACCGGGTAGGATTTGGGTATCTTTCTCTTGAACCGCACGGTCTGGTATATTTTTATTAACGGTGATTACAAGGGTTCAAAAATATTCGATCCGGTTGACCTAATTTATCGAACCATTTAAAAAATTATATTGAAAATATCTAATTTTTGGGTAAGGTACTCGACCTGTTAAAATTTTCAGGGTTTTAGTTCGAATCCGGGTTACAAAATGTTAATTAACCGGGTAGTCGATGACTAGGTATTCGGTTTATTATATATATTTATTTTTCTTTTATGTTAAATTTTTATTTATAATTCTCAAATTATTTCACTTTAACATTCTAAATTCTAAATTTCTTAAATTTTATCACCATAACATTTTAAATTCTTAATTTCTTAAAATTTTCACATTAACATTCTAAATTATTTTTAAAATATTTATTTTAACTCCTAAATATTTGAAATTTAATTATACATTTTATTTTAATTTTTAATATTTTTTTCAATTATATAATTTGAAGTTTTAAACCCTATGTGTGAGTTATATATTATATACTTTTAAATTTTAAATTTTTTTATATAATATTTTTAAAATAATATAATTTAAAAAATAAAAAAATTATGATACTTGCAAATTTCGGATAACCGAAATTATGTATACGTGTACCCGATTTTGAACATCCGTAAGAGTGATATAGTCCTTCACCTATTGAACCGCACGGTATGGTGTATTCTTATTAATCGAGATGAATTAATACATTACATTAATTGGTATAAATTCTAGAGATGTATCATATTAAAGTAAAAAAAAATTAAAACACTAAAAATGAAGAAGATTAAATCAAAATCGAAATAGATTGAAACAAAACTATCATTATTTTTGTAAAAAAATAAAATAGACTGAAATAAAATCACCATTAATTATAAAGAAATTAAAGTAATTTTTTATAAAAAAAATTATTTGATATATACTCAGCATAAATTTTAATTTTTATAAATCTATTTATTTTAGAGGTTTTATTTGAAATTTGGAAATAAAGAATTTAAGTTTAGAATTTAAAATTATAAATTTCAGAATAACGAGCTAAAATTTTAAATTTTAAAATTTATGATTAATAAATTATTTTACATTGTTCATGCATCAAATGATAAACCAACTTTTATATACCTCCAAAAACTAAAAAAAAAAATTATTTTAATATTTCTCTTTTTTCAATATTTAAAATTGTTATGAGTTTGACCGGTAAAGGTGAGAATAGGTCAGGTCAGGCTTTAAGAGGCCTGAGTCTGGCCTACGATGATATTTGTAGGCCTGAGTCTGGTCTGTAACCTGTTAAAAGTTTTTATTTGAGCTCGGTCTGGTCTGTTTAAAAGTCTGTTTCACAATAAACATTTAATATTTTTAGTTTAGTCACTAATTTTAGAGTAAAAACCCTATTAAGTCACTCTAACTTAATTTATTTTACAAAGTAATCACTTTAAATAGGCCGACCTATCAGACTTATAAGCCTTTTTAATAAGCTTAAGCATGACCTATTTAATTTAATAGGCTTTTAAAAAGGCCCGAGCCTGACCTTTTTATTAAATAGGTCAGGTCAGGCCAGACCAGACTTTATACAGGCCAGACCCTATTGACCATGTAGCTTGAAATAGAAAACGATGTCGTATTCGTCTTTCCTCAAATCCTTTTCATCTGCATTATTATTCTGTACTTGAAAGAAGGAAGCCAATAAGCAAATCCCAGAATATGCTACATAGAGCACATGTGCAAATCTGAAATGTAAGAACATTGCAAAATATAAAAAATAAAAAATAAAGGATGATCATCAATGGAATAAGCAAAGTGGTTGAATATACCTCTTAAGCCATTCGCAACCCAGACAGTTTGAACCATCTGCACTATGCTCTTCTGACTCTTCTCGAAATCATAACAAAATGCATCAGCAAACAAGCACACAAAGATTATATGTCATCATGGACGGCATCATGAGGCAGCTGGGCCCTATAACTTTTCTATACTAAAATTTTGTGCCTTCTCCCACCCTTGCACAAAGATTGAATATATTATTTTCCTTTCATAACTGTAAATCCTGGTTCAATTACAGAATATCATCATACCTGACTTCCACTAAGAAGAGCTTGACTTTGAATTCTAGTCTTTTTGGTGTCAATGGGATGCATCGTCCCCTCTCTAAAAGCTCCAGCCATGACTTCCCGCACGAATTGTCTTGATATTGTATCCGAATCATAAATGTTCATCAGTTTCTTTTAAATTTTGCCCCATAAGCACAAATTACCATAGCAATTTCTTTATGAGCCCATTGTTAATACATCGACTAAGTCAGAAAACCCTTAAAAAACAAAACATATTTCATGTTAAGAACAATGAAAATTATGGAGTTATTTAGTTTATATAAATATATTAAGAATACTCTAAAATAATATAAAAATTATAAATGTGTAGAAATATCTATATAAAAATTTATATATTTGTAATATTTAATATTATATCTAAAATTATCTATTAGAATAATCTAGATATTTGTAATATTAAATGGCTAAGATGTTGACATGTGTCAATAATTTAATGACCATTAGAATCTATAAATAGGAATTGAAGATACTAAATTTTTTTTATCCATATTATTATTATTAATATTATTATTATCCTTATTATTATTAATATTATTATTATCATTATTATTATTATTATTATTATTATTATTATTATTATTAATTTATATTAAATATATTAAATACATAATAATAATTACAGACCCATTACATTTGGACCGGCCCAGTTACAAACCAACCAGAACCGGTCCAGATCCAACCAGAAACCCTAAATATTTGGGTTTCCAGTTAGGGTTTCCTAACCCTAATCTAACCAGCCGCCTCAGCTCATAGCCGTTAGATCTGGCAAGATCCAACGGTCCAGATGGCTCCAGAGAGGAACCCTAGGGTTTGATACCCTAGGGCCACGCGGCGCCGCCCCAGCTTCCACGCGGCTGCCGACAGTCTTCTCGCCGCCACGCCGCTGCCACGTCCCAACCAAAGACTCCAGAAGATAAAATGGCAGCCGTCCACGCCATGGCTACTCGGTGAGTCACCACTGGTAGTCCGGTGACTCACCGAGAGCCCTTCTTCGGACCGGTCCGACGGCTACAACGGTGGTGGCTATAAAAGCCACCACCCCACCTGCGAAGAAAAAAAAAAGAAAAGAGAGAAAAACAGAGAGAAAAAAACAGAGAACGGAAAAGAAAAAAACAAACACACAGAAAAAGAAAAAAATACTAACCAACGATCTCAGCTAAATATCCCATAAGCAGAAACAAAAAAAGAAGGAAAAAGGAAGAAGAGAACTTACCGAGGAAGCTCCGACTACCAGATCTCACCGGAACCTTCGAAACAACGAAGGTACTTTTGTAGATTTGCTCCGATTGGGAGCCTTTTAGGAAGAAATAACACCGGAACCGTCCTTAGGACGGTCCGATCTATATATTAGTGTAAAAATCTTTTTTTTCCGGCCACCGGATGCGGTGGCCGGCGGTGATGGTCACGGCGGCAGACGGTTGCCGTCCGGTGACCGGCTTCCCTCCGATGAGGGAAGCTAGAGAGAGGGCAGAGAGAAATTTGTTCTCTCTCAGTTAGAGAGAGAACAGAAATGATGAAATGAAGCTGGCCCTTCGGGCCAGCCGGTTTTTGGACATATATAGTCCTTCCCGAACGACGTCGTTTCGGGAAGGACTATGCGCGTAATTATGAAATAGTTAAACCCCGTCCGCAGTCCTTCGTATTTGTAAATTTTACATTTTGGTCACTAAACTGAATTTATAATAATTTTAATTCAGTCTTTGAATTTTAATTTTATTCATTTTAGTCCTTTTTATTAAAATAATATGTTTAGGATAAATAACAGATTTAATCCCTTAATTTTAATAAATAAAGTTTTCATCCCTAGTTCATATTTTTAATTAATTTTGTTATAAAATTTAAATTTTAAATAAATTCATTTTGGTCATTAAATTATTAAAATTAGAAAATAAATATTTAATCCCTATAATTTCAATTAATTAGGAATTAGATTTAGTTTATTTTATTCATAATTTAGTTATTTATTTTATATGTTTTCATTTTATTGCTTAAAATATATTGTTTTAGTGATATTTTTATTTTATTATACTGTTAAATATTTTTATATATATACATATAATAAATATTTTTTTAATATTTGTTTTTTAATATCGAAGAAAAGGACAGTCTTAATACAACTGGATGTCATATTCTGATATTTTATAATTAAAAAGTAAACAATATTATTTAAATCAATATTTATCAATGTCAAAGAAAAGAGCTGTCTTGAGGCACCTAGAAGTTCTTTTCGGATATTTTTAAATAAATAAATATTTTTATATAATTTTGAAATAATAGGATTATAAATTAAATATATTTTTGAATTTTTAAATTTTAATAATAGAGACAATTTATAATTAAAAGTACCAATTTTGGGCGTTGTAGGGGTGCTAATCCTTCCCTAAACGTAACCGACCACGAATCCCTTTTTATTATTAAAAGAACGAATTTTTGGTTATAAAACGCAGATCAGTGCATCTTTTAAATAATGTTTTCTTAAAAACTTTTTTTAAAAGATAATTTTTAGGTATTCGACCTACCTGACCCAAAAGGCCGATGGCGACTCTCAAATTATTTTCAAAATTATTTATTCACATCAATTTCCCCGCCAAAATTTAATATTTCGTGCCCGGACGAAAACCGGTTACGACAGCTTGGCGACTCTGCTGGGGATTGGTCAAACTTTTAAAAATTAATTATAAATTGTCTCTATTAACTAAAAATTAAAAATTCATATATTTAATTTTTAATTCTTTCTTTTCAAATTTTTTATGTATTTATTATTTTTATAATATTTATATGTTTT